GGTAAGGGTAGAGAAAGGAAAAAAAAAAAAAAAGAAAAAATTGATTAAAAAGCATTAAAAAAACAAAAGGGAGTGTAAGTGGAGAAAAAAAGGGAGTGGAAAAATCAGCTCCTTAAAGCCATCTCCAACCCATGAGGCAAAACTCAAAATATCCCAAATTTTAGCCTAATTCCTCTCCCAACCCAAGAAAAGTAAGGGCCTAAAATTTGGGAAAACCCAAACTTGGGGCCAAATATTAGTCCAACTATTACCTTGACTAGAAAACTTTTTGGTGGAGCCCACTCAAAGCTGACACATCCCATGGGCAAGTAGGAATCAATGGGGGGCCATGTGTCGAACTATTGGTGCTGTAGAACCTGTCGCGCAATGGTGTTGCAACACTTTTTTTTTTTTTTTTTTTAAATTCCAATAATAACCCAAATCAACGATTTATATTAAATCCAAGCTATTTTAATTTTAAAAAAAGATTCAACGGTTGAAATTTAAATCCAACGGTTAAAATAATATTTTAAATTAATCTAAATCATATCCACCCCAAAACTCACTCCAAACTCTATAAATACCCACCTATTTCTCACATAAAATATATTTATGGAATTTCATTTTTTTTTTTTATCAAATTGTTCAAAAAATTAAATTATGAAGTTATTTAAAAATATTAAATGATGAAAAGTTATCTATAAAATAAAATAAAAAATTAGACTGAAACTATTCTTAAATAATTTAATAAAATTGCAGACTTAAAATTTGAGTCTAAAGAGTTAGGTGAAAAAACAATTTGAGTCCGAGCAAAATCCAAATAAGTACTTTTTTAAGGGGGGAAATTTGGGTTTATGACCAAATGGGTTGAAGAAGGCCTAAAGAAAAAAGGCTAATTCCAAAGTGAGCCCACCCTTCGACCAAAAAAAAAAAAGAGGTGAACGCACCCACTCCACCGGCTGCAACAGCAAACCCACCCCACTTCACTGCCATCCAAGCCTCCTCTCCCTCTCTCTCTCTCTCTCGGTCTTGGAGGATGAATTGATATGAAGAAAAAAGAGGAATACCTTTCCCCTTCAGAAAGACTATAGCAAAGAACTATGATTTGTAAATCTAAGTTGTTTTCCAATCAGGGTCTATGTTTCCTCTTCCTTTGAAAACTCAACCAAATAGGTCAAATGGATTTGGCCCCAAATTTTCGAATCCATCTGCTTGGGCCTGAGTCGTTTGGTGTCTTCTCTCACATCCCCGTATCTAATTAAGAGAGAGAGAGAGAGAGAGAGAGAGAGCATGGGAGGCTCGAATGGCGGAGGATGGAGGATGGGAGGCTTGAATGGCAGAGGTTGGAGGATGGGAGACTTGGATGGAGGATGTTAGGTTTTTGTTTTTCTATTTAATGTTTTTTTGTGGTGCCTATGATGTAAAATATTTTCTTAGCTATAATAGGCAAGTGATTGCGCCAAAAGTTGTTCATTTACTTGAAAGCTTGGAATAAACTGGTGTGTGATATACTGTATGCTCCGATGACAAGGTAACAACAAAGGGTAGTGAAGTGGTAGGACAAGAGTTCAAAGATATTAGTAGTAGCTTTGGAAGTAACGGAAGCACTGCAAATGAAAGAAAAGAAAAGGAAGCGGGAAGATGACCTGTTGGTGGCAGGAAAGTGGGGCGACTTTGGATGGAATTCCTCAAACAAAAAGTACGGCTCAAGGATCAATATAAGGTGACGTTCGAGCGAATTTGACACCTTCACATCCTTCAAATCGAAAAAGAAGGGGGGAATTTTGTGGGGGACCTAGATATAAATCCCAAATAGAGGATGCACATTATGAAACAGGGTTGTCGAGCATCAATTGGAAGCAAAGTTTCAGAGTTGGAACTTATTTATTTGAATATGTTTCATACTTACCTACTGATGTGCTCACAGGGTTTCTGTATTCTACCTTACCTACTGTCGTGGTCACAAAGTTTCTGTGTTCTGCCTTATCTACTGTTGTGCTCACAGGGTTTCTGTGTTCTGCCTTATTTACTGCCCTGCTCATAGGGTTTCAGTGTTCTGCCTTACCTACTGACGTGCTCACAGGGTTTCTGTGTTCTGCTTTTATGTGTTCTTCTATGTGCCCTATTTGTTAGTGTTTGTCAGTTGTTTCACTCATGGTTTATGACAAGGCCTTCTCTACAGTTATTCAATTGGTTAATGTTGAGTACGGTGTTCTATGACTCGCTTGTTACGTTTGGGCATGCGAAATATCTTTGCCCCAACTTAAGGGGAGTGTTGGCGAGCCCTTACTTAGTTAGGTTTTTGGTTCCTTACTATGTTAGGATTTTGGTGACTTACCCATTTATTTAGTCCTATTATAATTGAGATTTATTTCCTATTGTAATTGAGATTTATTTTCTATTGTAATTTGGATTTATTTCATATTTTATTTAGGATTCTACTTCTTTATAAATACCTCCATATTGGAGAAGAATAAATATATGAGCATAACCGAATATTTGCCCTACTTTGTTTGACTCTTTCTATGTACACAAGCACATCTGAAAATTATTATCACTTCTTCATGTTCTTTCCTTCAAATTTGAAACATAACATTTTTTAAATATTTTTTAATTTCCTAGAATTTTATATGGAATCAGGGCTATTCTTAATTTTGACATGCATATATAGAATAAATTTATTTTTTTAATGTGAAAATTTTAAATGTTAAAGCTAGATAGATTGTTGTGAGCCTCTGCAGTAATCCAGGCGTTCGACTTCTTTGTTTCTCTTTGATTAAAGCACAAATTCTCTATTGTCTGCAAAGGATTTCTGAAAATTCTTCTTGTCATATTGTTGTCTCTTTTCGTCTTTGTCAATTATAAGATCAATACTTTGAAGTATTGTGGCCTTCTGCCTGCTTTCGCGTCACTCTAGTTTATTTCAGTTTTGTTGGTCTAGGCTTCTGGGTTTTTATTGCTGCTTTGTCTTTTAGACTTGTGCTTTTGTAACAGGCGTGTTCCTTGCCTTGGTTCAATGATATTACCAAATTGACCAAAAAAAGGGGCAACCTTTATGATGATCTCTAACCCATCTAAGCATGGTTACCCCCTAAAGTAAAAAACACAAAGAATAGAAACTTCTCTATGTAAAGCTTACAATTTGACCATGACTAAATAATTAGATAATTTCCAATGTGATCGTTTATTT